ACACACACACACACACACACACACACACACACACACACACACACTTTTTTTCCTGAACTATGGGATGTAAGTTGCATTACAGCCTGCTTTTTTACTCTAATTGTTCAGTGTGTTTTTCCTAAGAACAAGGATATTTCTCTTACAAAATTATAGTATATTTATCATATTTAGGAAATTAACATAAATACAGTACTTTAATCTACAGTCCCTATTTCAGTTTTTACAACTGTCCATGTAATGTTCTTATGACAGTTTTGTTTCTTCAATACAAGATTATGTAGCATTTAACTGCCATAGGTCTTTAGTCTTCTGTAAAATGGAGCAGTTCCTCAGTCTTTAATGACATAGACATATTTAAAGAATACTGGCCAGTGATTTTATAGGATGTTTCTCAATTTGGATTTGTCAAATGTTTCCCCATGATTAAATTCACATTATTCATCCTGGCCCTGAATATCATGTGCCAGATATAAAGTTGTACTCAAACAAAGGGTGAAATCTTGTTGAAAAGACACAAGTCAGCCTGAAGGAGTTCCCCTTACCCAATTAAATTAGGATAAATGATGATAATGCATTGACTAAAACTGGAATGCATATTATCTTATTCTAAACAAGCAAGCAAGTAGGGGAAAAGGAGTTCTTCCCTTCTGTAGGATATTTTTTTAGTAAATTTATATTCTTACCTTTATTTCTTAATACTTTCTTTGGGTTTATTATATTCATTTTTAACATTCTAAATTGGGCATTGAGTTTGTTTTCAGATTTTTATTTTCAGTCTAAGCTTTTTAAACTACAAATTTCCTTTTTGGCTTCTTGTTTTGGCTTGTTCCACTACACAAATTTTTATATGGAGTTAATTTTATTTTCTTTTGGTTCTAAGGGTTTTCTAATTCTCATGCCAGTTTCTTTGATTCACTTGTCATTTAGAAGTAGGTATAATTTTTTTTCAAAAAAATAGGTATTTTAGCCGGGCGCGGTGGCTCACGCCTGTAATCCCAGCACTTCGGGAGGCTGAGGCGGGTGGATCACGAGGTCAAGAGATCGAGACCATCCTGGTCAACATGGTGAAACCCCGTCTCTACTAAAACTACAAAACATTAGCTGGGCATGGTGGCGTGTGCCTGTAGTCCCAGCTACTCAGGAGGCTGAGGCAGGAGAATTGCTTGAACCCAGGATGCGGAGGTTGCGGTGAGCCGAGATCGCGCCGTTGCACTCCAGCCTGGGTAAAAAGAGCGAAACTCTGTCTCCCAAAAAAAAAAAAAAAGGTATTTTAAACTTAATTTTAAATTGAATTGCATTATGTTGAGACAGTGTAGTCTATGTGATAACAATTATATTTGTCAAGATATATGTTATATTGTGGGTAAATGATTAATTTACCTAAGTGTTCCACATATTTTAGAAAAATATATTTTTCAGGTATTTTATACAGGTTTCTGTGTGTCTCCCGTAGGTCAAACATTTTAATGTTGATATTCAAATATGCTTTATCTTTACTAATTTTGTGTCTATTTCTTCTGTCAATTATTGAGACATTTATTTAGATATCTTACTGTGATTGTATATTGGCCAAGTTTTTCTTATGCTCTTTTATTTTTGCGAAAGAAAAATTTATGGATTATATTTCTACTAAGTGAACTTTATTCATTATACCTTTTAACCTAAGAGTCCGTTTTGCTTATTACTGTCAGTATCCACTACCTTCCCAATATTATGATGTCAAGTTAATTTCCAGCTGCACACTTTTTCATATCCTTGTAGTCATGTGAGCCTCCAGTTAAATTTTATTCCATTTGTTGTTTTTCTAATTTTTATTATGTGTACATGTACGTGTATACTTTCTCACCTCACTTATTTCAGTAGGAACTAGGTAGGAGTGTGGTTTTATTTATGTATGGAAACTGTAGTTATTGGTGTTTCAGTTACTATCTTTTTTGAGTGAAAGTAAAATGTGTATGTATGGCTGTCAAATATTTGATGCCTTTTCTAACTTGCTGTTTTTTATATGAACTATTTAATTGTACGAAAATAATATGCATTAAAATAATGTGATATCATTTGAAAATATGATACTGTTTTCCTTCCTTCTTTCCTCCCTTATTCTTTTTTTTTTCTCCCTCCTTTCCTTCCTTCTGGGGTAGCTGAAGGTAACTAAACTACTGTTGTGTGAGAATCACTGCCATTGCTGCTTCTGTTACTTTTTTTTTTTTTCTTTTCAATTTCTAAATTCTCACTGTAGTCAGAACAAACAGATTTCCCCTCTTAACTTAATGTCTTATTCTTCAAAACACAAATTTATGTTAATAGACAATTCTGAAAACATGTATTTGATAACATAATTCTATGTAGACTGTCATAATATATTTCATAAAGGGTACCAGTTTTTATATCATTCAGAAACTTAAAATTCAAAGCGGCAACTATTTGAGATATCAGTTATTGACTTTGGTTATCAAGTAATTTAATTTGAATTCGAAATTATTATTTTAAAACCAAAATTATTTTCCGTTGGATTCAAAGGTATTTCAGAAAGTTACTAGTCAAAATGTTTTTGTCTGGTTACCAAGCGACTACTTCTTGGATAACACTATTTGTGAACATGTAATTATCTACTTGTAAGGTAGCAACTATAATAAAGTACATAGTAGTTTAAAAGTATATACTTAATTGTACTTTCTTCTACCAAATTATTAGTTGTTATTAGTGAAACAAAAATACATTTATGCCCATTTTTGGCTTGGTCTATTTTAGATGCTTCTGGTTAGCAACACAGTTATTTTACGATGGGAGCTCTGCTCTATATTTCCCAAAATAGCTTGGAATACGTCTTCAGAAGTTGTAATTATTTAGTAACCACAGTTTCTCTCCTTTTTTCCCCCTTAAATTCTTACCCTGGAACCTTTTTCAGATGAAGGAAAATAATTGGAGATTGAAGCATTTTTTTAGCCTTTAAAATCCTTTCACTTAAACTCTTCAGAATTTGTTCACATAAATTCTTTGAAGTGCTTAATACTTCTATCTGTCTCTCAAACACCTATCTCCATACTCAAAAATCACCTCTTTTCATAAGTAATCATCTCCCATCCTCGCATAGCAAGTAACCTATTGTGGGGTAGTGGCATCATCTGGTCACCAGCATCATCATCACTACTAAGATTTATTGAAGATTTACTACGTATCGGCAGTATTTTGAATACCTTATGTATTATCTAATTCTCAAAAGTCAGCTGGATTGTGAATGGTAGAGACTGGATGGGACCCAGCAGGTCTTGACTATAAAGCCCACAAGCTTAACTAATTACTACACTGAATTTCTCTTACGCAGTAGTAACACTTTTCTTCTTCCTTTGGAAGTGTATGTGTCATGTTCCTGACCTATTCTATTTTTCATAGCTTAGTCATTACTTTGAACATTTTTCATGTATATGAAAATTTATTTTCATTAATCACTTTTCTTCTTCCACTGTCTCTTATCCTGGTGCAGTATAAGGAAACCATTTGTCTTCCCTCTCCCTTCATCTGTATCAGATTTTGATAAATTTATGTCAACAACAGTTTCAGTTTTCTTAAAGTCCGGAGTTCACCTGTTTATCTGTTTTTTCATAATTAACGTCTGTTTAATGTTAACAGACGAAATAATAAAAAATAAAAATAAATTTTAAAAGTTGTTTTTGTTACCACTGGATTGAAAGACTTCAAGATCTTCTGAAAATATCTGTGGTTCCAAAAGTATTTACCTTGCTAGTAAATAATTTAAACTTGTATGTCTTAAGCAACTTAGATTTTCTTAGATCTGTGGTGGAATGCAAAGTTGAGCTACCAAGTACACTTACATAATTGTGTTTTCCTCCTTTATTTTTATAGTCACTTTTCTAAAGCTGGCTGTAGCCAGTGTATTTGCAGCAATTATATTGTACTCAAACCTGGTCAGATCTGTTTGTTTGTAAATGTCTGAATTTTTCTTCATGCAGTCAGTATAAACATTTAAGTGCTTTTGAATTTGTTGTGGCTTTTTCTAGTTTAAAATTTTACTTTATATATATATATATATATATATATATATATGTATTTTTTGTTTAATGTCTTTATTTCTAATCCCATTGCATTTGTAGATGATCAAAAGTTCAAAAAGTTCTAGTACTAATAGTAAAATATTACTCTAATTTGTTGTCAGCCAGCCACATTATTATTCATGTAACATTATTTTGGCAACATATTGTTTATAGTTATTCTTGTTGATTCAGTCCTACATTTAATATGTACTTTACGGTAGCTGTCTACACTTTTGATGTCTTTCCTATTTGTTAATATAAACTATCTTTTGAGTGGAAAAGAGGTTGAGTCCACTGGTTGACTTTTAAATTTATCTTTACTATCTAGTTTATGAATGTCCTTTGTTAATACGGTGGGGGCCTGAAGAATTTACCCACAACTAATTAATCCTAGCAAGAAGTTTATTCACCTTTTAATTAGAATTAGGGATGTGTTTCAAGTTTAAAAACTGTAGACTGAATATTTTTAAGATTATGTTTTTAGTAGCTTCTGGCAGTGGCCTTTAGGATAGTCTTAACAAGACTTAGAATTATTTATTTCCTTTTGTGCCATGTCTTGTAAGAAGACAAGACATTAATTGCCATTGGTAATTAATGGGTCTAACTTCCTGTTGGCCAAGAATAATGTATCCCTTTACCTCATATCTCCTTCAAAGTAAATAATGGATTGTCTGTTTATAATCTCTTGTCAAAGATGTAATTGCTGTTTTCTACAGTTTCTTTGCTAATTATGCCAATCTCAAATATGGTAAGCATTGAACTCTGCCTCCCGTATGACTATTGATATTAATATTCCCGTTATCTAAGATACAGAATTAATACAGTGAAAACCACATTGGGCTAAAGTCAGAACTTAGTATTCTGAGGAGGGACAGTGAAAATAGGCAGCAGAATTCAGTAATTTTAAGAATCCTCTAGCCTTTAAAATTATTTTTACTTTTCAGGAATGTAGACTTAGTTCTGATCACATGATGTGTAAACATGTTTTGAGGTATGTTTTTTCTTTTTCTTTTTTTTTTTTTAAGTTTCAGGTAAACAGTTGGTATCCGTCTCTATTACCTAGTCAAGGTGTACTATACATTGTCTTTAATGTGAAGAAAGTACATTTTTAAAAATGCTGCTTAAAGTCAAAAGCAAAACAACTTTCTAATATGTTGCTTAGATAAATAAGAAAATATTGTACCTTGCATATGGAACCTGTGAGAATTACGTAAATGAGCAATAGACTGTTCTAGGAGGCATTTCCTAAAAATTATCTACAAAGATGTTGGGCGATTGTGACAATAGATTACCTTTTACCAATTCCACTGCCTCTTCCTAAATTCATTTTAACAACTACTATAGCAGTTTCTCCCTAAAGGATAATCAGTTTTATGCTACATTAAATATATAATACCAACAGTATTTTCTCATATTTTATAGAGAGAAGTAAACAAGTTGAGATCTAGTTTATAGTTAGTATGTTTTTATACTGGTGGGTATGATGTTTAAACTCAATATTTTCATGACTTTTAAGTGGAACACATTTCTACATAGGTATTTATGTGAATCAAAGAGCTAGTTGATTAGCCTTTTCATTTCCTCAGTGCATTTTAAGGCTGATTTTTATTTATTGTTTTATTTATAATTTCATCTTTTATTTAAGATTCAAGCGATACATGTGCAGGTTTTGTTACCTGGGTATATTGCATAATGCTGAGGTTTGGGGTATGACAGATTTTGCCACCCAAGTACTCAGTAGGTTTTCAACTCTTACCTCCCTCCTTCTCTCTCTTCGCTAGTAGTTCCCAGTGTCTGTTATTGCCTTTTTTGTGTCTGTGAGTATATGTCGTTAGCTCCCACTTATAATTAAGAACACATTGTGTTTGGTTTTCTGTTATTGCATTAATTTGCTTAGGATAATGGCCTCCAGCTATATCCCTGTTGCTACAAAGGACATAATTTCATTCTTTATGGCTGTTTAGTATCCCATGGTCTGTGTTTTGTAAGTGTGTCTGTGCCACATTTTCTTTATTTGATCCACCATTGATGGACACCTAGATTGATTCTGTGTCTTTGCTATTTTGAATAGTACTTAAAGCTTATTTTTGAAAGTACTTTCTCTGTGAGTTTTGGGAGGCTTTAAACAATAGATACCTTTTGAAGACAAGATTTATCTGAGAGTTAATAGTTGAAAATACTAATTTGGGAAAATAGAAGAGGGGCTAATTCAGTAATATTTTCATGTATTAAAAGTTAATTTAGTGCTATTATATATTTCAAACTAGAATCAAACTGTTTTTACGTCCTCCCCTTTTAAGCAATCCCAATTTAGCATTGTTTTACAAAATACTGCTTTTCCCACTGTTTATGAATATATTAAAAATGTTGCAGTAATTTATGACACCAACATTTACTTCTCCTTGAATTCTAGAACTTAATTGTGAATTGTTTTTGTTGTTGCTGCTGCAAAATGGTTGTAACAAGTGATCTGCATGCCTTGGCCTCCAAAGTGCTGGGATTACAGGTGTGAGCCACTGCACCCAGCCAAAAATGACTTTAAAAAGTTAAATTTCTGTTACTGCCACCCCCCTGGCTCTTTCTTGGAAGTACTTTCTGATATATTCTTCTGGAAATTTAGTATGCAATGGGAGTGTATATATGTGTGTATTCTTTAAAATGGGAGTATAATAATCATTCCATTTATAATGTGCATGTTTTTAAAATTCCATCTTAATCTATTGAGTAACTTTGTGAAGTAGACCACTTTATTTATTTTAAATGTTTATTAAAATTATTCATTAAAAAGTAATAGCTTTTTATCACCTCAGTTTGTATTTAAGAGCTACATTAGATGCATTTGATATGTATACTAATTTTTGATATTTGGCCTCTGTTAGGTGGTTTTGGAATGTATGCTTAAAAAAGACCTCATTTATAATAAGGTCACTCCAACATTTCACCACTGGAAGATCGATGACAAGAAGTTTGGTCTTACGTTTCAAAGTCCTGCTGATGCTAGGGCTTTTGATAGAGGTATCCGAAGAGCAATAGAGGATATTTCTCAAGGTAGGTACTCTTGACTATTTCCTTAATTTATTTATCAGTTATATATAGTGGAGGTTATCTTTCTTAGAGTTGACCCAAAGTAGTTTTCACACTTTAAACATGTCAGCTTTTGTGACATATGACCAGGCTTTGACCTCACAATAAATGAAGTAAAATAATAGACTTCTTAACCTGATTTGTATTTGTCACATCATAGTATATATCAATTGCATGTATTATCTTCAAGAGTCCATCAACAGCTGGCTTCAGATAATTCAAATGTTTTAAAATAAGCACTTGAAGGAAGGGGGAATAGAAAGGTACAGCTATGAGAATCCCAGTTGGTGTTCTTCTTGTGTATGTATGACACCAGTCACATCCTTTTCTTGGGTAATTTTGTAGAAATTGTAATATTCAAATATATGTAGACTGTAGTTATTCCATGACAGAAGTCTTTACTTGATTGATTTCATTATTGAGGATGAGCAGAAACTACAACCTCATCTACTTCTTTGTTATCTTGCCAGTCTGTTAAAATGATTAACTCGAAAGCATACAGGTATTGAAGGGAAGAATAATGTTTTTTTCATGTAAGACTGGCTTATGCTTACTTAAACAAAAATCACTTTAAAAAACATTTCTTCCCATAAAGGATGACATATGTATATCTAAGACTTGATTTTTTTTTTTTTGGAAGGAAAATTATTTCAATTTTAATAATTTAAATTGAGACCAATTTAAATTATTAAATTTAATATGAGACCAATCACAGGCAAGAACAAGGAAAAACTAGTGTAGAAATCTGCTTTGATAGTGCATGAAACCATAGTTAAGTAATTTGACTAGCTACTTTAAAAGATCAGAATTTAGTAAATGAGTAATTTTTTATTTCTGATCGAGAAAAAATTACTTTGAATTTATAGTAGCCATTTTGTCTTTATTATAAGAACCCATAAATTCTCTCTAGATCAGTGTTCTTAACCTTGGCTACACATTACAATCACCTGAGAAGTGTGTGAAGCTTAAAATGACTAATCTCCACTCCAGACCAATTGAATCTATCTGGGGAGTAGAGTCGAGTCATCCCATATTATTCATAAACTCTAAGAAAAGTTCAAATATGGTGAGGAATTATTCTCTAGTCAAGTAATTATAATTTGAATTTGAGAAAAAAATAAAACTTAAAAAAAAAATACATGATGCCCTGTGCCTCTTTCCACAGAGATTCTGATACATTTTGGTTTGGTGGCATATTCTGGCATCAGTGTGTTTTTTAACAATTCCCCAGTTGAGTCTAACCTTTAGCCAGGTTTGAAGAAACAGTGCTTTAAAGAGAAAAATATTATTCATGGTAGCTGGAATTTATATGATTTATTTTAAAGTTTCGAATTACTTTTAAACTTATGCTCATATAGTATAACAGTATACCTCTTTCACTAGGTTTAATGTTTTAAAAAATGATTTATAAGGAGTAGCTTACAAACTCCTAGGTAGAACGGACTACAATACTTAATCTGTCTTGTCATTTTTGAACATTAAAAAATATTAGATAGCTTTATTACCAGCTGCTATATAGAC